TTTATACATATTGAACTAGCAGAAAACTACCATGAAGCGATACCTAAAAAATCAAAAAAAAAAACTTATCATAACGTTTGCTAAAAATATGCTCAGTGAATAGAGAGCATCAACCTTAGAAGAGAACCAGTAAAAAAAGATAACATTTGCTAGTACTTGATAGGCAGAAACCATTGATACATGCAATAAATAAGCAACAGATAGGCAGTACAAACTGTTATAACATTAAAACAACAACATCAGAAGCAAACACGTTATCACAGAATCACAATATATAGTAGCGCCTTCTGGTGATACAGGATTCCACGAAAATCGAGATCTATAAAGAAAATAGAATTTTTCTGACTTGTATATGAGTTTTATACGAAAGATAGTGCATCACACGTACAGAAAATGCCAATTTCTAAAGCCCACTTTTGCTTCCCAGCATGCATTACGTTCACAACGATTTTTCCAGATAATAACATTCTCACCAATTACGCCTTACTGCTCTTTTTTGGTGATGGCTTTGCCTTCGCTGTTGTATCGGTCTTCTTTCGCCTTTCCAAGTTATCCATATTAGCTCGCAGCACCGAAACATATGCCAAATGGAATTTGTTCACTTCTTTCGATGTAACCTAAGCATTTTAAAAGGTTTCCATATTAAAAACACTAACATTAAAAATTTGAACACAATTTATAAAGCATCTCACTATGGTGCTGATATGTTGCCTGCCACGTTTAGCACGAAATAGGCATTTGTGACCATCAACAGGTTGTGGATCTGCACCTTTTGGAAGGGCCTTCGTGCGACCATCATCTAAAACTTTCAAATGTATTAAAAGACATAAAAACTGATTTAAAATGTGAGGTCAAATCAGCTTGATTGGAATTCTCAAAAACCCTTTGAATGGCTATGTGCTTCAGCGAAACTCCGCATAATGTTGTACGGATGCAATTTGCTTATAAGCAATCCTCTACTGTGGCTCGGTTGAACATGACGAGTGACAGACAGCCATTCTGCTCCCATCATCCTCTGGTTCTCTTTCCTTCATTCTCCCTTTTTTTATATACTTCTCGGTAGCCCTTCCAAACTGGTTCGGTTAAAAACAATAAATTACAAACTACTGAACCTCTAAACTAGGGGAGGGGGTAAGGAGAACCCTTCTCTAGTACATAGGCAGGAAACGCCGAAGAAAATCGCCAGGAAGTATAGGAGCGACGATGAAAAAAATCATGTATTTCTCGCAAAAGGGCTTGCGGCAGTGTTACGGTAGGTAATTGATACCACAATTAGGTTGGCTTGAAAAGCTGTCTAGTGATTATATGGATTGATCACAAAAATTCGCATGCGGCATTCCTGCATACTTGTATGGTGCAAACGTCAATCCCTAATTAAGCGCTTGGACTAAATTTGCTTCATCACTAATCTATTGTAATTTTTCAAACATGCTGATGTTCTAAGAGAGGATGATCTTAGTGATTAGCGTATTAGGTTTTTCTGGTATGAGTATATGTGCATGTGTATGCTTATTTGTATATGTATGCGTACGTGTATGTGTATGTGTACGTGTATGTGTATATGCATGTGTGTATGTGTGGACGTGTATATGTGTGTGTTCCTCTCTCTGTCACAAAATAGTTCGTTCTTAATTAGTCAGTAAGCGTTATCATGTTAGCTGCAAAGCACTAAGTAAACATGAGCGATTTTGTTGAAAAAACGTGGTGGGTGGTTGTCTATTTCTTTTTGCCATGGACGGGCTCTACGGTCGAGATGGCCTCTGCGCCTTTCTCCTTCAATAAGACGTTGAGAGGTAAGATCAGAACTTTAATACTTTCAGCGGAGGTGCATGACCGCTTGATTAGGTAAGAGCATTGCTTTGAAATGTTGTATCTAGCTCTCTAAGAAAGTGTCTGTGAACCTTTCTTAATGATGGTGAGGTATTGGTATGTATATAAAGCAGGAGGTCCGCATGAATGTATGGGTATATGTGTTGTTTCACAACAATTTTTGCTTCTGAACCGATAGGGCTGTTTTGCATCCGTACATTTCGA